GAAAGATCATTGAAATAAATTGGACTATTTAAGAAAACAGGACAAATAAAAAGATCATTTTCATGTAAACAAGAAAAATACTGTATATAGTTTATACCAAATTTCATAAAAACTGGTACAATTGATTTATTCAGGCATATTTTTTCCCTAATTCTTAATATTATGTTGTCTTTAAATTATTTAACGGTAATTCTGATGGATTTGAGAGAAAGATCATTGAAATAAATTGGACTATTTAAGAAAACATAAGGCTAGCATGAGCTAATGTGTTTTACTTTTTGTATTAGCAATATTGATCACATATTTGCATACAAATTGATTTCTATTGTGGGTATAAAAACCAAAAAAAAAATTATTCTGTTATGTTTAGTCACATTTTCAAAGAGCCACTGCAGAGGGACCAAAGAGCCACAAATGGCCCCAGAGCCGCAGGTTGCAGACCCCTGCTGTAAGCTATGTAGAAAAAGCACCAAATAGTTTTAGAAATGCTTGTAAAAGATCTTCAGAAAGGCTGAAGATTTGGTGCTAAGGACCACTTTAAGAATACAACAGTCTGGCTCTTTAAAAGCCAGAAACAAGACTTTGACAGTACTGTAACTTTGTTTTTTGGTGTTCAGACTGAAGTCATAAACTTCAGTGGAATTCTAAGCCCAAATAATGATCCTTGATCCACAAACCTCCACGATACAATAACACTCAGCCAGCTTTCAGTTCCAACTTTTAGACTTCCATCGCCCTCATTTCTCAAACTCGCCGTCTCCTCTGTTGCTCATCAGGTGGAGAAGAACGAAGATGCGGACCAGAAGATCGAGCAGGACGGCACTCCCAACAAACCCGAGGACAAGGCCCACAAGGCTGCCACCAAAATACAGGCTAGCTTCCGTGGACACATAACTCGGAAAAAGATGAAAGATGGAGAGGAAGATAAGGAAGGAGACAGTCCTGCTGCGGCCGAGGAGGCGACAAATGGAGAGGAGACCAAGGAGGCAGAGGGAGAAGAGGCACCTGCCAAGCAGGAGGAAACCGCAGGAGGAGAGAAGAAGGAGGAGGAGGTAACAAACCATGCTAAAAGCCCAGCGGCAGACAAGCCGGGCAACTCTCCTGCCGGCACGGCGACGTCTCCGGTAGCGGCGGCCCCGGCCGCTGCCTCTCCCACGGCCGTCACGGAACCCCAGAAAGAGGAGCCCAAGGTGGAGGAGAAAGCCGAGGAGAAGCCCAAAGAGGTGGAGGCTCCGGCGGCGGAAGCCAAGAGTCCCACCACAGCCACAGCCGAGGAGAAGAGCCAGGAGGAGGAGGAGGAGGCCAGAAAAGCCGACGTGCCTGCTGCTGTCAGCCCCACAGCTGAGAAGGAGGAGCCTAACCAAACAAACGATAAACAAGGTATGCAGATCACAGCAGGAATGTGAGTAAGCACATCTCCACGCCAAACACTTAGGTGTGCATAATATGTCTCTTCCTCCAATCAAGACACAATTACTGCGTGTAAAAACAGCTCATAAAGAAGACTTGGTGAGCTCTCTCAGCCTTCTTGGCAGGCATGTCGGGACATTACTGCTCGTTGAGTCTTTGGGATTTAAAGATGTTTGGCTGAGCTCCATTATTTATTTGTTAGCACACAGCTCAATATTACATTAAACAGCCTTGTATCTCAGTGTGCAGCTGAAGGAAACTCCATGCTGATGAGGATAAAACCTGAGGGCAGAAATCCAGGTTCATATGATTAGCAGTGGCTGGAAATGTTGCACAGGGGGATAGTGTGATCTGATCTGAGCTGCTGTGCAGAGGAGAGGCTGTTGTTGGGATAGAAAGCTGTATTTTGGTAAATAGTTAGTTTATGACGATTTTAGACGGTTTTGCATGAACTTAAACTGAGTGAACCACACTGTGACTTCCAAACAAACAGAAACAAAACAAAGCGAGGAGCTCCTGACAGGAGCTGACTTTGTGGTTCAAGGACTCCCAGACTGGGTCAGACAGGTGGTTGATGGAGCACGCTCTGTGTGGAGCTGGTGAAGCAGGGAAACACACAATTAAAGAACCTACACAGAAACTAGGTCACCTGTTGTCATAGTTACCACTTCAGCCGGATGACTGGCCTACCCGGAGCCGAGCGGCCACAACAGGTGCTCTGATTTAAATGAATGATTAATGATCCTTACTGGTGGCGATCCACACCAGGGAACGCTGTCATAAACAAACTCTACCTGACAAAGAAGTGCTAATTAAGAAGCCCTCGTGGGCAGCAGAGGCCTGCACAAACTGAGCTGACTCACACAGCAAATGATTCTTGTTACTGAATTGTTTGGATAATGTTTCTTAACTCTGTGGATCTAAACTAGAGGAACACAAACACCAGGAACTGTGGTGTTTTTCCTGGTGATCCAGGAAGATAGTTTATGACATTTATTCTAGTCAGAGTCAACTATCAGGCTACTGATACAAAAAATATTGGTATAGTCTATTCATACCAGAGGTCTATAGTAACTGAGTATGTTTACTTTGTTACAAAAGTTAAGTATTTTCTATAAGGATTAGTTTTTTTTTTTACCAAGTATTGTTTTTGCTTTTATTTTGTCAAATTCAAAACATAAAATGTGTACTTGTACTTTACTTAAAGG